GAGTCGGAACTGACTAGATGGCACTTGAAAACAACACCTAATACTATTACTTTGAAGAATCAAGACACTCTAAGCGACTCTCCTTCCGAAAGCGACAAACCATCACCCAGTTCAGCTCCAACACCTACTACTTCCTCTCTGTGTCATTCCATCAAGGCTGGGAGTTTCAATCTCTCCAACCCCTTTACTATATATAAACATACTAACTTTACATAACGTAGCCCAAACTTCAATGCATGATCACAGTCTCTTAGTTAATATTGCACCAGGGGGGTTGTTGGGAATTAACACCATCATTTGCATGCCTCTGTGTAAGGAGGTGTGATAAACTAATCCACACAAATGAGTTTCTCTCCACATCCGTCCAAGTTCAACAACTTAACAATGACAGCTTTAACTTAACCCTGTCTCCACGAGACTAAACCATGTGAACACTAACATTTCACTCCTTCAACCACAAAATTGTTTTCCACAGGCAACTTTAACACACTTGCCTTTTACAAGCTACTCCCTAATTTTTTTTTTTTTTTGTGCATAATTTTTAAAAGGTTACAGAGCCAATCACTAAAGGACTATCTTGATTAAAGTCAAAGACAAAGGTACCAAAATAAAGCGAAAATAATGTTTTTGTTGGAGTCCTGATATACCACTGTGAGTTAATGTGCTGGACTGCAAGCTAGTTTGAACTGCAAGGTCAGTGGTTCAAGCTCACTAACCGCAACTTGGACACCCTATACAGCATCACTATGAGCCGGAAACAACTCGATTGACATTTAACAACAATGCCATATTGGATTTTTTTTTTTTTTAATAAATTAAGTATTTATATACTTTTGTAAACATGGCCTGGCTCTTCAGGAAGAAAAATTAAAACAAAACCAAAGGGCTCTGGTATAAAATTTTAAAATCACAAAAAGTAAAAAAAATAAACACAGCTTATTAAGCACAGGATTGCTAATCAAAAGGCTGGCTGTTTGAATCCACCTGCCATTTCCTAGGAGAAAGAGACAGCGGTCTGCTCAGTCTTCTTCCTTCAACATTTACAATCACGGAAACCCTACTCTACCCTCCAGGGTCGCTATGAGTCGAAGGCAGTAGGTTTTGGTTTTATTAGCCATCGAGACCACTAAGTGTTTGTATGTGTGTTTGCTGCATATTAACCCTTTAATACCATCCCATTTTGGTTTCTTTTCTCAGATTGTTACACAAATTCAATGCAGAAGGTGTCCGTTTTTCTAAGCTATTTATTTGGAAAGCAGAACTTTTGAAGGCTGAGGAAAGTAACTGGAATTACATATTTTTAAATAGTCTAAGATGATGAACTATGCTGTGCACCACTCTGCTTTTAAAAAGTTTCCAATGAGATGCAGCTGCTTTCGCTCCTTGTCACTGATACATTAATACAGGATGCTGAAGGCTCCGCAGTTTCAAATTCCGGCACATACTGTTTAGCACGAGTTTATGTCCTTCAGAGGGCAAGCCTTCTGTAATGAACCAGTGACACGCACAGACCCCATGGCCTCACCTCTTCTAAGTCCGTACTCACAGCAGTGTCTACTAAGTGAATCAAAGTGTTTCTGGGATTTACAAGTGGAAGGATCGACCCTGAAGATTGGTTTAGCTTTGTTGTATTTTTTTTACGTTGATGGGTTAATTTATTGCCACATCAAGAGCAGAAGAAACCTGGCTTGGAATTTGCAAGCCTGCTGGTGTTATGTTACTGAACATTTCCTTGTTTTCACAGCTGTGCACAGGCTTCCCTTCTCAATCATGCCTCCTTATTCTCTGGTCCTCTCAAGGCAGGGTTCTTTATGACTTGGAGCAGAGGGACCTGCCACCAGGGTCCTGGGCAGGCACCTTCCCAAAGAGAGATCGCTGATTCCTACTTCACTGAAGACCAGCAGGCCAGGACCAGCCTGTCTCCCTGCACATCTTCCACTCTTGTCAATTAAGAAGGAAATTAAAAACAAAACGAAACAAAAACAGCAAATGGCCTTTGTCATTCCAATGAGAGTTTCCAGAAAGAAAATCATGCCCCACCCAGCATCTTCAAATCTTCAGTGTGGAAGAGAAAACCACCTTGTTCATCCAAGCACCTTGGTTTTTTTTTTTTTCTAAACTTCAGATTGACCTTGGCGCTCACCTTTTAAAAAGTGGTATATTCTCCTCTTGAAATGATTGAATTCTTTATGCTCCCAAAGTCACCTGGAGGTGCCCAAAACACATCTCTAGGGAAACCTAGCAGTTTTTTGAAGCTTGCTTTTGAAGAATCCAAACCAGCTTTTCATTCTCAAGCACTTGTAACTTTTTAAGATGCAACTTCTCAAAGCTATCATTTAAACTCAGTCTTTGAAGCTATGTACACAGCCAAGGAGTCTCAATGACTCTGTGCTTTCAGGTCCCCCATGACCTTTTCTAATACCAAGGACTCCTATCGCCCCTTCTCATGTGATAACAAGATGTAAACTGATAATTGGCTGTGATCCACCAGGAAGCCAAGATCACTAATAGGAAAAATATGCTCTTGAGGTACAACAGGAGGCAAAATACAAGATTTCAAAGCAAAGTGAGTTTAATGTACAATATAAAAACAAACCATCTAGTTAAAGGTTGAGCCTTGCTGGTGGTCATTTGTTGTTGTTGTTAAGTGTCATCGAGTCGGTTCCGACCCATAGCGACCTTTACAGGGTTTCCGAGGGTGTAAATCTTTACGGGAGTAGAAAGCCTCATCTTTCTCCTGCGGAGCTGCTGGTAGTTTCGAACCGCTGACCTTAAGGTTCACAGCCCGATTCGTAACCACTACGCTACCAGAGCTCCTTAATTTAGAAATAAAAAAGTAGGATTATCAGTGATCATCTGCATTGCTACATCACCTCTAAAATGCCATCAACCGTTGACAGTCACTCATTGTAACAATACATTTGTGAATGTTGTTGATAAGTACCTTTGAGTTGGTTATGAGTCACAGCAACCCTGTCTGTGTAGGGTTTCTGAGGAGCGGAAATTTGACAGCGAGTTTGAATCACCGACCTTGAGGTTCAACCAACGTCCCCATCCAGTGTTTATCCTACAGCACCACAATTCTGTCCTTTAGTTTTAGCTGAATGGATTGTCATCAACAAACATCAATTTAGAATGCGAAAATGTTTAATATCATTATTTGCCTAAGTTCTGTCAAATCATCTACCAGTGGCTTGGCTATGTGTGTGCGTTTCTGCTGTGTTTTTTTTCCCAAAGGCACCATTTCCACTCAACCAGAAAATATGTAGGAATAATCACTGTAAGTTTCTGTTTCTGGGCAGTTCTCTTGCAAGGATCAAATGGGCCACTGCAGCGAGAGAGATGGCAGCATCCTGGGCAACGTCATGGACACTCTGCACTGGGCTTTCTGTCATAGACCAGGCCACATAGAGCAGAGCACAAGGAATCAGTACTAGCGTGGGGTTCCCCTCCGACAGAACATGCTCCCAGATGATGGTAAACCCACCGCCAATGAGTTGATGCCAACCTACAAAGGGTTTCCAAGGGAATCTTTAAGAGAGCAGAAGGCCTTGTGTTTCTCCTAGGGAATGGCTGGTGTGTTTGAACCGCTGGCCTTGAGGTTAGCACACAACGCCTACCCCGTATTGGTACCAGGGCTATCTGAGAAGACCCACTTAAAATCAGACTCATGTGAAAGGGAAGAGGGGACGGTGTCTGCTTTCTACTTTGGTGACATACTGTTTGGGGACACCAATACAAAGGATGGGTACAGCGTTTCACTTTTAAACCCAGGCCTCCCAGGGAAAACATAGCCCAGCCATCTGCTGTGAGCCGGCACCTGCTTGGCATGGGCACAGAAGCGGCACTGAACCAGAGTCCCTCCAGCAGAGGATGCTTGTACCTGACTCCTGGAGGCTCAGCCAGCTATAAAGTCTCGTTGGGCTGCCTCCTCCCAGCTGCTGCCTCTGGGCCAAGAGGGGCCTCGCAGGAGACCCAATTCAGGCAATATGCTCGGTTAGGGATTATTCTTAGCTCCCACTCAAATAGGAAAGAGAGCAAGCTTGTAATTGGTTACGGCATTGGAGCCCTTCTAGAAGGTTCTGGCATGCAAGGCGCTGTGTTCAAGCTGTGTACCGGGGTGGGGGGTGGGGGGGTGGTGGTAATGCCAGTGTAAAGGGATCACAGCTCCCAGCAGTGGGAGTCTTTGCGATTAGGGAAGATTCCAGGGGAACTTCTCCCTCCTAGAGTAGACAGTTTTAGGACAATTAAAAAGCAGGCAGGGATAAGACTGAAGGATGATGGGAGCATACAGGGAGTTGGTGGGAAGAGTACTGTGGGGGCTGCAAAAAAGAAACCCAAGAGAGAGGTAACATTTCATGCAGAAGCCCCAGCTACTCAAATGCAATGACTTACCCAGTGTGGTTTTGAAATACCTTGTCCCTGCTTCTCCAGTGGTTGAGACCACAAAGTTTAGGAGACCAGGATTCACAGGTCATCATCTTTCTTATGTGGCTCAAACATGGGACCTGTCCCCCTCCAGCACACTCATCTTAAAGGTTGTATTAAGGCAAGGTGTACCAGTGCTTTGAGAGAGAGATGGAACGGAAATGGAATGAGCATGCAATCACAGTTCAGGGGACCAGGTCTATTGCGTAACAGAAAAACGGCAATGACCCATGAAGTCCAGTCCCCTAAGCTTCCGGGCCTCAACCAGTAAGGAGGGAGGCTCAAGGTATTGCATAACTACGCCGTGCAAGTAACGAGTGACTGAGACTTCAGGATGAAACTCAGATGCTCTTTGCAGTTTCTTACTTTTCCCTTTTTTTGACAGTCCCCACAAGGCTACTTCCTCCCTGCATTCCCTGACTGTCCTTTGTCCTCTCCCATCCTGCTTTCTCAGCTGTATCCTGGGCAAATGCTGGCCATCTGCCCTGCATAGTTGATTGTTGCAAGGAGTTCTAAGGTGATGTTACTGTTCACTTTACAGGCCTGTCTACTGTTTGGCTGAAAGTTGAACCATGATGGTGAGTTCAGTCCCATACTTGAGGGTCTCTAAAAGCTCTAGTCTTGGGGGTTCTATCAGTTTCTATCACTCCAGTAAGCCTGGTCATGTTTTGTTGTTGTTGTTGTTAAGTGCCATCGAGTCGGTTCCAACCCATAGCGACCCTGTACAGGGTTTCCGAGGCTATAAATCTTTACAGGAACAGAACGCCTCATCTTTCTCCTGCGGAGCGGCTGGTAGTTTCGAACTGCTGGCCTTAAGGTTCGCAGCCAGATTCGTAACCACTACGCTACCATGTTTTAGGAGTCTGACTTTTCTTCCACATTCTTCTGCTCTCTCCGGGACCTTCTCGTGTGATCCCTTTCTGAGGGATGATAGTGGTAGTAGGGCCTAGTTCAGCTGGTCTCAGGGTCATGCAGACTGAGGGGCCATTCGGCCTCTGGAATGTTTCATGTCTCTGTGATTTTCTTCACTCCTCTTTGCCCCAGACCAAGAGCCCCCATGCCAGTCACCTAGATAGGATGGAAGACTATCTTGTGGACTGTGTTATGCCAATCGAGCTTGATGCCCGCTGAGACTAGGCTCCGGAGACCCCAGGCCCAGCAACTCAGTCCCTCAAGGTGTTCGGGAGACTGGCAACCAGCTCTGGAAATGAAGGCGATTCCTAGGCCCCTGCTTCTCAAACTGCAGTGCCTGGAACAGCAACACCTTCCTTAGTTAGCACCTTGTTAGAAATGAGCGTTCCCACCTCCAAACAGGTGTACTGAATCAGAAACTTGGGAGTGGGGCCCAACAAGCAGAGGTTCTTCATTAATTAGCCTTCCAGGTGAATCAGAAGTTGAGAACCTCTGGTCTTGTTAATACTGCAAATTCACCTTCCATAACACAACCCACTTTAGATTTATATGCGATTTTCATACCATGATCCCATTCGACCCTCAACACCATGCACACCTAACAGTATTATACCAATTCTACAGATACAAATACTGAGGCTCAGGAAAACCAAAGCCATGCAGCCAGCAAGTGGGAAATCAAAGTATGGATTTTTCGCCGCTGTCTCCCTTTGGCAAAACCAGTCACCACTTTCAGAATGATGGTACCCCACCCCAGGGTCTCAAGGTCTAGGGGCAGAATAAAGGTTAAACTCCAGGATAAGATCCAAGATAAAACCTGCTTTCTGATGACCCTGAGCCTTGGGATAACTTCTAGGAATTTCAAGTTTCCTCATCTGTACAAGCACTCCTGGAGTGGAGCTGGAGGGTCAGCGGTTCAAACCCACCAGCTGTGCCTCGGAAACCCTACACAGGATCACTATGTGTCTGAACAGACACTACAGCACTTAGCAACAACACCTGTACAAGGACTCCTGGTGTGGACTGCTAACCACAGGTCAGTGGTTCAAACCCTTCATCTGCTCCTGTAAAACCTTACAAAGGGTCATTGGTGAGTCTGAATAGATTGGACAGCACTTAACAACAACAACTATAAAAGGAGCCCCACTGTGGTGCTGTAGGAAAAGCACTGGATTGCTAACCACAAGGTCGGCTGTTCAAACCCACCAGCCACTCCTTGGAAATCCTACACAGGGTCAGTATGAGTAGGAACTGACTCGATGGCACTGAACAACAACAGCTATAAAAGGAGAATACTGAAAAGGCTTACTCGAATGAGGGGATTCTTAGTAAAATCAGATGAGCTAACGATGAGGACTATCAGGCAAGAAGCAAGTTCTCACTACCTTGGGTTATTATTAATACAGCATTAGCTAAGATAGTCTCCATGTGATTTATATCTCAAGTTCTTCTATGGAAATCTAAAAGGCTATTAAAAAAAAAAAAAAGCTAAACAAATGAATCTTGGCTTTTTACCCAGCGATGTTATGCATGAATTAATCATTGTCCCAAATGCTTCCAAAAAGTATTTATGGATAAATTGTTGTTAAGTGCCTTCGAGTCGGTTCCGACCCATAGCGACCCTGTACAGGGTTTCCGAGGGTGTAAATCCTTACGGGAGTAGAAAGCTGGATAAATAAACACCCACAAATAATGCAGGACTTACAAGAATTAGTCAAAATTTATCCACACTCTGGCTGTAGAATTTAATCAACTTTCAGAAAACACAAATACATCATTTTTAACATAATCTCCTTGCTTTTCAGTACTTTGTCCATCTGTCAATAAGCTTTCGTATTCCCTGATTTTAAAATGTTTTGGGCTGAGCTGCGAGCCACAAGTGTACCACTGTCTTCACTTTTTCATCAGAGGTGAATCTTGGTCCTCGAAGGGCAGCTTTTAGGTAACCAAACAGGTGAAAGTCCAATGGAGCAAGGTCATGGATGATTGAACACTTCTAAATGAACAGTGTGAGAATGTCAACAATATGGGCAGAGGGGTGCAGACGTGCAGTGCCATACATGATCACAACATCCAAAGTCCTCTGCATTTAATCCGAAGTTTAGGTTTCAGCTCGTCAGTGAAGGAGCACATTATCAGGAACCTTTTTCCTGATAATGTTCCAGTACTGGCCCTTGAGAATCTCAGCCGCAATTTTCCAGCTGATGTTGACTCCGAACTTTTTATTGGTCAGAAACTGAGGAGGTTTCTATTGCACACTCTGCCATTTACTCTCAGACTCACAGTGGTGAATCCATGTCTCGTCACCAGTAACAATTTTTCAAAAGATACTTCTACCTTCTCTCAAGTATGGGTCCAAAATGTTTGTGGATGTCCCAAAGCTTCTGCCAACGCTCTTCCGTGAGATGTCTCAGTACCCACTTCGCACACACCTTTAGAAATCCGAGTCTGCCGTGGACTAGTTCATAAGCAGAGCCAGGGCAGGTCTATAAATGATTTGGCCACTCGTCTATTGCACAGAATCATTTCACATGCACGTTCAACGCTGTCATCAGCCATAGATGTGGATGGGCGTTTTAACATTACCGGGGTGCACATCAGTTTTGAGTCAACCTCATAAAAATAAAGTGAAAATTACTGATTGCCTGCGAGTAGCTAGTGGAGACTGGATGCAAAGAGACAGGAGAGAAATGTCTGTGGAGATCTTGACTGGGATAGTGGTTACATGGGTACACACATTTCTCAAAAGTTAATGACCTGGACACTTAAAATATATCCATTTACTGTAGGTACATTGTACCTTAAAATGATGATTCAACAACAACACCAACAACAACAAAAAAAGTGTGCCCAGAGGCTATATAAGGAAAAGAAAAGCTGATCTACCAGGAACCTGAAGTAGCAAGTGGTCACCTTACTTGAGCATTTAAATGTGAGCTCCTGAGTTTCCTGGCAACCTAGGTAAAGACGGAAAGTTCCGTACTTTATAGTGTCCTCCTTACTAAATAAAAGAAGGTATACCAGGTTTTGGAATCCTAGTGTGGTGCTATAGGATACAATACTGGGCTACAAGGTCAGTTGAACCGTGAAGTCGGCAAGTCAAACCCACCAGCGGCTCCTTGGCAACCCTCTACAGGGTCACTACGAGTCCGGACCCTACTTGACGGCTCTTAGCAACAACAACAGAACAGTTCTTTAGAAGAGAGAAGGTTTCTTTTCTTAACAAAGAAATCCTGATGTGAGAAGTCTGTACTAATAGAAAACACTATGGGTTAACTAACTTTGTTAAGTGCCAGTCAGTCCACATTTTAGGTGTTGAAGGTCAAAGTCCTTTCTAAGCAACTTCTCAACCCTGCCCTTGTAATGTGAAAGCAGCCAAAGACAATATGGAAACGGAAGGCCTGGCTGTGTTCGAGTAAAATTTAATTTATAAAAATAAGTGAGGGGTGAAACAAAATGGCTGCAGTGAGAGCAGAACTGGGGGCATGACCCTGAGCACCCTGGGGGCGCACGGAGGCCTGACCTCCCCCAGGGCCGCCGCCTATGCTGGCTGTTCTTCGTCCTCGCCTTAAAGTTCTGCCAAGCCAAAGCACCAGTTCAAGAGGAGAAGCAGTCAGTGAGCTCCTCAAACTTGCCATGCTGGCTGGTGGAAGGGTTTGTGGTGGCAGAAGAATGTGCCCCATGTTCTAATTTCCAGGCTGAAACCACCCCTGAGTGCAGTTCCACCGGTTATTTGGAAAAAATCACATGCAGTTCGTCTAAGAGAAATGAGTTCAAAAGCTGCCGCTCAGCAAAGATGGAACAACACTTGTTCTGGAAATTTGAAGGGGCTGTCATGGGCGTGGCCTTGGTCTTTGCTTGTCTTGTCATCCTTCATCAGCGACCATGGGACAGAAAGGCTCTGGAAAAAGCCCGGAAGCAAACTGAATCCATATACCCACATTCCACCCTTTTCTCATAGATTGAGAAACCACACCTCAGAGAGAGAAAGTGGAACGGACTAACTTCTGCCCCGGGTTCTTTGGAATCTTGGTATGGTACTCTCTTTCTCCACGTTCTTACATATCATTAATGAGCAGAATAAAAAGAGTAAAATTTTTTAAAAATTAAAAAATACATGAGGGGCCCCGATTTGGGCTCTCTCCCTGCCTTTACATGCACTATAGTTTGCTGACACTTGGAATGAACAATGCACTTTTAACATTTAATTCTAACTTGATCTGAAACACATCAAGAGCAAAGCATGGAAATATATCAAGGTAATCCAGACCTGTAGAATCTTCTATGAAAGAAAACTTTATTACAACAGCCAAGATAGAACCCGTGTGGCTAATAACCCCAGAAAATTTAATTTTAGACAATTTACACAAAGTCTATGAAAGCATATGTAAAGAGAATCTCATTAAAACAAATATTCAACAAATTTCTTAAGTATTCAATTTGCATTGAAATCTTATTACCCTGTGTGTTATACCCAGAATTCTCTTCAGCTGTAGTCTAACTGCACTGGCTTTTCATTGCGAAGCTGCATGTTTAACTATAAACTACATCCTGCCTCTCCCTTTGTGTGTAAAATTGACAAATGTGTTGTTTTTGGATTCCAGAATTCTGGAGAAAGCCAACTTAAATGAATTAAGATGACTAATGTGTTGATTCTGTTTCCAATCCAACAAAATGTTGATGTAAGAATCCATGTCATATGATGCTATGTGTTTTAGTTCAAATTTAACATCAAATATTGAATAAGGCAGTTTCTAAGTAAATTACGAGGCTAAAAATATTCCTTCAGCGTACCAAGAACTCCATCTTGTTTAAATAAATGGAAATTTGAACATCTTTGCTCAGATCAGCCTAAATAAGAAATTAGAAAAATGCAAACCTCTATTATCGTCAACAGTATTGATTTCATCTTTCTTAGGAAGTAGCACAACATTGTGTATCAAGGAAACAGATTCATTTAAAGTTATTCACTCATCATCACAACTTCATCCAAAGTTCTACACGCATCACTTAAGCAAAATGGTGCTTTTCTGGCATGCGACGTAAGCAATTAGATCCAAGGTGACTGCCCGGCAAGCTACCACAAATCTAATTTTGAGGCTGACAGCCATGTGTCTTTGAACACCCAGCCGCTATGGGGTATCTGGCATGGCTGGCTGTTTTGCACTATGATAATGTTTTTACACATGTTTTCATTGCATTGACTTCACATTTGGCTCACGAGAGCCCCGTGGCTGTAACATACTGTTGCGCAGTTTTAAGTAAACTAACGTCAGTTTTTCATCACGTAATGTTTGAGTCATTTCTGTTTCCACAGAGGCCATCACTATTTCACTTGTGAAAGTTGTTGAAAGTCCTGCCGAGCCCGAGTTTGATTCTGTGAACATTTCCCAGGCACCTTTTGTGAGTGAAAAGCAGGCCTTCCATGCTCTTCTAATTCTAGCACAAAATCGTCCTACTACTTTTTTCCCTTTGTAAATGAATTACATTTACTGGCCATCAAATAAAACACCTTAGTAGCTCTATCTTTATAACAAAAAAAACAGGTTCTGATGTAGTGCTGTAGGGTGAGCACTAGACTGCGAACCATCAAGTCAACAGTTCAAACCCGCTGCTCCTGGAAATCCTATACAGAATCGGTACGATGTGAAAGTTACTCGATGGCAATGAACAACAACAAACCAAGCTTATCCTAAAACATCAAAAGAACAAGTTCTTGTTGTTACTGTGAAGTCGGTTCCGACTCACAGTGACCCTGTAATGCAGGGTCAAGGAATGTCCAGCCCAAGAGCCCTATGTTGTTGTTGTTAAGTGCCGTCGAGTCGGTTCTGGCCCATAGCGACCCTGTAACAGGGTTTCCGAGGGTATAAATCCTTAAGGGGGTAGAAAGCCTCATCTTTCTCCCGCGGAGTGGCTGGTAATTTCGAACCGCTGACCTTAAGGTTTGCAGCCCAATTCATAACCACTACGCTACCAGAGCTCATTCAAGAGCCCAATAAGACCAAAGAATTCATTCAGGCCTGGCCCTGCCAAGGCAACTGCAGTTCCAGCCAACACATTGGGGGTGAGTTAATTAAATGTTTGAACAAATACAGCAGGCTAATTTTTAAGCTGATAATTTCGTATGACTTGTGAAGGATGTTATAAGTTTTGGCAGAATAGATGGTTCCCCACCCTTGCTAGATAGGGTTTCCATGCAGCAGTTGGTGGGTTTGAATTGTCGACACTGCAGTTAGCAGTCCACTGTTTATCCTTCTGAGCCATACCAGGGCTCCTAAAAAGAACAAGAAAAGGAAATAAAGAAAAGACTATTCAAAAATTTATATGGAAGAATTTAGAAATCCGGGGTCTAGAAATGGAATAAAAAACACATAGAATATAGGTATTTTGCCTCCAGGTTTTAGATTCTACTATGACAGACTGTCAGTAACTGATTATTTTTTTCATTACTTGGCAGTTATTTAGAAAATTTCCATTGTCTAGCATAGAGTAATTCTGAAAGAACTAAAGAAAAATATTTAAGCCTGAGTTGCAATATTTAAGAATTATATGGGCAAGATATTGAATTACATAGGATGCATCAAAAGAAGATAAAAGGAATACAGAGAGGAGTTGCTGTACCAAAAATAATTGCTCTCTGTTCAATCACTTCAATAGGAAGCATAAGATCACGAACAAACGGTACTGAAGGAAGAAGTCCAAGGTGCAGTGAAGGTATTGGTGAAAACAAGACATCAGGAATTGATAGAATACTAATTGTGATATTTCATCAGAGAAACAACATTGGAAGCATTCTTTTGTCTATGCCAGGAAATTTGGAAGAAAGCTACGTGGTCAAAGGACTAGAAAACAGTCCGTATGTGTGCCCATTCCAAAGAAAGGTGGTCAAACAGAATGCAGCAATTATCAGACAATTTCATTAATATCACACATAAATAAAATTTCACTGAAGGTAATTCAAAAAGAGTAGCAGCCGTACACTGACAGGGAACTTCCAGAAATTCAAGCTGGATTCAGAAGATGACATGGGGAGACAGACATCATTGCTGATGTCAGAAGAGTCTTGGCTGGAAGCAGATTATATCAAAAAGATGTTTACTTATACATTATTGACTATGCAAAGGCATTAGACTGTGTGGGTCATAACAAACTAGGGATCACATTGTGAAGATGGGTATTTCGGAACACTTATTTATAATCATGCAGAACCTACACACAGACCAAGAGGCAAAAGGGAGATACTGCTATGGTTGATGGACTCAAAAACCAAATATATTCATTTAACTGCTATTAATGTGATTCCTAAAAACTCCCCGACCCCCAAAGGAAACTCTAAACAAATGCCTCCTGATGACTGGATATTTTTCCCCAAGGAAATGGGCCCCGGGCTCCAGATTCTTAAAAGGAATACAGCATGCAAGAGAGGGTGCAAGCCAGCGGCTTCTCTTGTTTTTGTTTTTTTTTTTAGCAGAAAGCTGTAAAAACATTTTGCTTACTCTTTTGAAAGAGAAACAAAAAGAAGTCAAGTGTTATGTACTTGGGAAAACAGCCTCAGAACAAGTCCATCTGCGCAATCTCAGCATCTCAGCATTAAAACTCCAAACCCTACCCAGCATTCAAATGACTTCCACAACATCCAGACACTACGGCTCAGCTTAAACACCTTGAGGGCTGCAAACCCATTTGTTCAGGGAAGCTTCACTGGAACTGGAAAGCTGTCCAGTCCACCAGCTGGTCCCTAACGAGTGACAGAGCAAGGCAGAAGAGGAAGTGATTGTGGAACCGACATCTCATGGGCACTGAACAGCCTGCTCACTGTGGCACCTCCAGGTTCTAGAACAATGACAGCCAGAAAGGGGCTGGTAAGTTCACCTGGGTTGGTTCTGACTCTCAGCGACCCTGGATAGGGCTTCTGAGAACAGCTGGTGAGTTTGAACCATCGACCTTTGCAGTTCAAACCGACCTTGCAGTCCAGTGCTGATCCTACAGTGACACACATGGGTTAAAAGAATGGTTTCCTGAATGGCTGCTAGTCATCTGGGGAGCATAAATAATAGACAGCAGTACTTCTTCTCTAGCAGTTAAAGCCCTAGGGTTCATCATCAATAGAGGCAGATTTATAGTCCTGACAGGAGGCTTCGGATACTTTAAGGAGACCCTGTGATAGGCTGTACTTAATAGAAGGCCTAAGAGGTCTAGCTCAATGATGGTTGAAGGGGTGGACTGTACTGAGCATGTGCGATACATTTCACATTCTCCCAGTCTTATGTGATGGTTTAAGGGGTGGA